TGTGTTGCCCTGTAACCTAGCAGGATGGCGGCATCAGGCCTGGGAAAGCTCAGCAGGCAATAAGACAGTGTTAGAGAATTTTAGAATGTTTTGTTGGGGATTCCGGGGGTTCTGAGCATTCAAAGGGCTTCTGTGGCTTTCCGTTTTGACTTATTAAGTGCTGCTTGAGTAGCCTAGCAATAGGTTAGCAGTTATCCACGTTCTTCCTAAATTTTCTAGATTCTTTTTCATAGTTCTCAGATTGTTCTTAGCCGAAGTCAGGTAATGGCCCTGGTATTTCAAATCATTTGTATAATTCTGTATGGGACGCTGGGCCCGGTTCCCAGCACGTGTTGCTCCCCACGAATAGACTGGAGCATTTGTCTCCCCCCCCCCCCCCCCAAAAAAAAAAGGAGGGTCTAACGAGGCCCATAGATGAGTACTGGCAAGACTCAAACACTAAAAATGTACAGGGCCGCCGGACCCGATTTCCAGCAGGTGATGCTACCCACCAATAGACGGAGCCTTCAAAACTGGGGCCTGCTTAAGGAGGATGCTTTTATCACCTCGTTAAGCAGGCCTCCAAAAAAAAAAAAAAAGGTCATGTGCATCTGGTTGAAGAGGGTATAGGGTTTAAGGGAGTCAAAATGGATTAGTCATACTATAGGGGGGCTGCTGAAGAAGGTTGGGCTAATAGATAAGGGGTGCTCTAAGAGGGGAAGGGTGTCACTAGCAGCTCCATGGGACGACAGAGACCAGGTCTGAGAAGAGTAAAGCCCACAACCCCAGGAAAACAACAAACACCAATCCTGGAGTGACAAGATGTATTAATGGGACGCTGGACCCGGTTTCTAGCAGGTGTTGCTCCCCACCAATAGATGGAGCAGCCCGACAGAGAAACCCTCAATCCTGACGATTCTCCTACCATGCCGACAAGACCAATCCCTGTGCCTCCCCTCAGGTCCCCTCCCCTACGAACATCAGCAGACTCTGCTCAATGCTGATCAGGGAATATCTATAGGTGGCGGACGCCAAGCATGCCCAGGAAGGTACATGAGGCCAATGGGGATTGAACCCACGACCTCCTGAATGCCACTTTCGTGCCTTACCAACTGAGTTAGGCCGCTGGATGGATAGGGGGTTTTCACAAGGGTTATTCTTAAAAAAAAAAAAAAAAAAAAAGGAGATAGACGAGAGAAGAATATAGATTACTTTGAAAACAAAAAAATAGAGAAAACTACGGCGCAGTCAGGGTTACAGTTTGCAATTGCATTTCGAACTGCGTTTTAACAATTTAGACAGGGCCCAAGTTTCTTTGTCTCGGAGGACCTTTTTTTTTTTTTTTCCATATTCATATATCCGGAAAACAGGCCCGGTGTCCCTTACATCATTTGCTGCGGTCAAACGGGCTAAGTACGACAGGGCCCAAGTTTCAATTGCAGTTGAAACTCGGGCTGCCCTTTTCATGCAGTTTAGAATAGCAAAAATTGCACACTGAACGCAATACAGCACACGCCAAAAGGCCAAAGAAGCTATATCATAAAAAAACATCATTAATTCTTTGAAAAAACATGCACACGTTAACCCGTGGCTGTTAACAGTGGTCACATGAAGCCCAAGAGAAGTGATGAGTGATGAATGACGCGAAGCCCCCCATCGTCAAAAAACTACCATGCCCAAAGTTCCCTACGGTCCACCAACCCGGTCGCAAACACCGCGTGATGCGAAGCTCCCCGTCGTCAAAAAAGACGACCGTGCCCAAAGTTCCCTACGGTCCACCAACCTGGTCCCAAACGCCGCCACTCGGCAAAAGAGGCCAGAGTACGTCAACCACATTCAATATATCGTCTACTCCTTCCCTGCCATGATGTCAACTCGTCGGTACCACCCCAAACCAAAACCAAACCCGCCCCTCCGATGATTCGAGGGCCAAAAAGCAACCAAACTGCCGTCAAAACGACGGTTCGAAACTTAAAAAACATATCAACTAGAAAAACAATACTACTTCACCCATGTTCCGAAGGTAAGATGTTCGAAACACACAACTCAAAACAAATCGAACTCGATACCCAAACGGTCTGGTCCCGGTCTTACCAGAAGGTCACCGCTTCAAACCCTTACGAGTGGTGGTGGTATATAGGGCACCTCCCTGGTCCCAATAAACCATCGCTACTCACGCAAAGCAAAACTAATCTGTCTACTCATTCAGATACTTCAAACTCGATCAAATACAACCTAGTCTAAACGCAGTAGTGCGACTGTAAGTTAGCAACATAGAGAGCAATTTCCGGATTGGTTTTCTTCCCTTGCTGAAGCTTCGCAGTGCCGCTCCGAAGTAGTTACCTCTGTTGAGTTCAGTCCTCATTAAAATCAGAGTGTCCAATATCTCCACTCCAATATGCAAATTCTGGTCAATCCTGTGCAGCGCGCGTATTATAACTGCCATTTTTGCTTGCTTATAGTTCCAAGACTCGAAGTCTTGGAAGGTGCGGAAAGGGAGAGCTTCTCCATTGCGTAATTGCACACTGTTCTTCAGCGTCAGCACAGTGCCAAGAAATGAGAAATTTTGGCTAATTGACAATTTACAGCCCAAAAATTTCCACTCATCCTCACCCTCATCAGTCCGTTTCAACGTAAGTGCCTTGTCGTAGCAGTCCTCAAATTGTTTCAACAGCTTCACTGCCTTCTCTTTGTCACCCGCCTTCCTACGGTTGTAAGCAGCAAAGACAGATACATCGTCTACAAAACGCAGCCCCGTAAAGATTCTCTTCTGGCTTCCCAAGGTAATCATGAAATCCTATTCATGTTTCGCACATATGAGGCATGCCAATGGGGGGCTCGAAATCTTCCCCATTGGTATGCCAATCACCTGCTGGATCAGAATTCCATATGCCTTAGTATAGCAGCAATCGAGTTCGAAAGAAACAAACTGCAAAAGCGACTCAAACGAAACAAAAACAAAACCATCCAAACAAGTACTTTTACTCAAACGAGCAAGTTTCCCTCTTCTCTGCACGAAAACTCCTTCGTAGCCTTTTTTCGAGAACCACCAAATCACCCATTCGATCGCAGACAAAATTGTTGCATGGGAGAGCCGGCTAAACATATCTTTGATGTCGAAGGAGGCTCCTACAATACCTGCATTCTGCCTACTTCTACCAAGCCGATTGTTAATCGCCTTTTGTTTGGTTTTCATCACCGACACCGATCGCAGATTCAGGTGTCCAGACCAGGCAATGAAAACAGCAAACAATTGATTTCTTTCACCACCAGTTTACATGTTCTAACAGAAGGTTCACTGAAAGTGGGGCAAATAGGCCGACACTTTGCAATATCCTTATGTTTAGGCAGCACGTAGGCATTGCCGTATCTTCCTTTTGAATCCCATTTTCCAGAGAAGAAAACCCGAGGGAATGGAAATCCGACCTAGCTCGATCCAATATCTCTTGCTCCCTATCTGCACACACTCGATAACAATCGCTGGTCAGAAACGTCTCTTTCATACCAGTATCGTACGATCGAGGACACAAGACCAATATATCCCCGAGATTCCTGTCCAAGGGGGTCAAAACGAGCCCAATCAGCTTCTTTTTTAACGCCAATACTTCCCTCAGCTGGTTCTTCGTGGAATGTTCGATACTATCAACAAAGCAGCCTGTAACATATGATGTGGATATGGTGCATTCCTCCGTCGTTAGTCTTGAGGTGTCTCTCTCCAGATATCGAAAGCAGAGGTCAATTCTCTTCCCAACTGTTGATCTCTCTGGTCTTGATCACCACGTGGTACGTTCTTCGCATTGCATACAATCCTCGGTACGTCAGTCAATTTACCAATTCGGAGATGAACGTGCCCATTCCGTTTACGAAGGGTCAACCCAGTACAAGGACAGGTGGACGCACGCACCGAAGCAAACTGTTGGTGGTTGTGGAGAATCTCGCCCACATTCGGGGATCTCTTCCAAACAACGCGTGCACGCCGCTTTACCATCTCCTTTATCGGTGTCTCTAACTGCATACTCCCCACCTTTTTTCGCACCACCCTCATAACCTCGTTTTTTCTAATCCTATTGTCGAATTGTACCTTCGCTATGATCCTGGTTTGAATATTTATATCAAAATTCTCTCGTATTGCTCCGGAAGTCATCGTCCTCGCCTTCGACCTACTCTTCTTTGTTGTGAACGCCTTTACCCTCTTGCTTAGATTTTTGAACATTCCAACCATCTCATCTCATAGAGCCAAAACAACCAGCGACGCTTCCGTAACTTTGCAAAGCGTAACCTTACCTTCGGTCTCAAAACACTTTTTAGACTTCCGTAGTGCGAGTGTTCCACTTTTAAATTTCACTCGACTCTCGCCGAACAATCTCCTCACTACGCGCCAACCGTCAGCCCAGGTGTTGCCGCCATTACAGTAGAGTGAAACTTCTCCTTTCTTTTTAATTAAAGTTCGCAGAATCTCAACAACCTTCATGGTGCCAACATCCTTGCCCTCCAGCCGTACCTCTACGATCTTCGTGCTCAACTTCTCGTAATCACCGTTATTTGTACTACTGCCCTTTGACCATTTCTTCCGTTCTTTCCTTCCTGGTATACATTTAATTTTCTTCGACGCCTTTCTCACTTTAACTGATCTGACGCTCAGAGATGGTGACCAGTGCCTAATCAAGGTGCTCTCAACAGCCTCCAGTTCCGAACGATTCTCACTCGTAAACAAAGGTATAGCAACATAGCGGTGAACACCTACCTTCCCAAGCAAATTATACAACTTCCTCCTCCTTCTACAATTCTTACGACCCGAACTAAAATGCTCATGCCACCTCGCCCATAATCCCCTCTCTGTAACTCCGATGTAGGTTTGTTTATACCAAGGGGAAATCAATAGATATACATAACTACGAGGTTCGGACAATTCAAAACTACCTTTCTTTACTTCATCATGCAAGTTCTCCACAAATTTCTCACCCCACTTTAAACGTCCTTGAAGGATCCGGCCGATAGTGGCAGCTCGTATGATACTCTCATCCTCTTTACATCTTTCATTGTTCCTTAGTCTTCTTTCGCACACAATTTCAGCGATCCTCAGGTAGTCGTCGCAACGACAAAGACCTTAGTCAGATTCTTCGTTCGAGTACGATGCATCGGAGTCAGAGAAGTCTGTAGCAACATTCTCCTTGACTTCTCTGATCGTCATTCCTCTAGTGTTTCTCGCTCCTGTGCGTGGAGTCGAAGGTAATGGAATATTAGCCGGGTCGTAAGCCACCGCTGACCTGCGGATCACAAGCCTCTTGATAGCCAAATCCCTCTTACCATACACCACGTTCTCACGACGACATGCTTCCTTGAGTTCGTCAATCGTCAAGAAGTCATAGAAGCCGTGGCAATTTTGCTCGAATCTCTCTTTCCCGCCGACGCCGCAGGATGCAGATACTACATGCTTGAGCGATTGATCGATCTTCAAAGGTGTACTCGTCGTCCCCGGGTCAGTTCCAAGTTCCTGCTTCAGTATCTCGATGCGCGTCTTAGATTCGTCCGTCAACTTAGTATTAGCCTTCTTCTCCGGTGTTACCACTGGTGGGCTATTTCCAACAGGTGTGTCCGGACTGCGTTTCCATTTCTCGATTAGATTCATTCTTGCCGCCATCCTCCTCAGGGTACGTAATTCCTCGTCTTCAACTTCTTCGGCAGTATCGAGGATCTCAGGAGCAATCAAGCGACGTAACCTCTCTTTCTCAGCCTCGATTGCATCGTTGCGCCCGATGGTCCGAGCAAATCCCTTCCCCTTCCTCTCGTACCTTTCTTTTTCTTCCTCCCTGTCTTTTTGCATAATTTCGCTTCGAATTATTCGTAGTAATCGAGATTCGCGTTCCTCCTCAAGCTTAAGTCGTTCTTCTTGTTGTAACAACCGTCTATTCTCCTTTGCCCGTCTCTCTGCTTCTTCTGCCCGCAGCCTCGCCTCTTCGGTTTCTCGTTCAACGCGAAACCTCCTTTCTTCAGCCATCTGTACAAAGTACTCCTGCATCAATGAGTTCGTATCGTCCCCTACAATTTCTCTCTCACCACCACTCTCAGCCGATCGACTTCTTCGTGCCATGGTGTTCATATTCGGTGTCACGGATCTTCCACGTGTCTGAGTGTTTGTTTGTGTTGAAGGCACGAACGTGCGTCCGAGCGCCTTCGCCTGCCAATACTCCATGCAGTCTCGAATGAAATGACCGCCTTCCCCGCACTTGTAACATCTTCCGTTGTCCGGAGGTAGCCCGCCGCTCCCACCTCCTTCCATATTCTCCCTAGAATCCGAACCCGTACTCATCTAAAAAACAACTGATATCAATCTTCTCAGTCAAGAACAACTTCACTGGTTCAAAGATACAAGCCGCCACCTCCGCTGGGTATGATTTCCTAGATGGTTATGACCATAAATGATAGGATAGCAAAGACTGCACACTGAACGCAGTACAGCACACGCAAAAAATCCAAAGAAGCTGTATCATCAAACGACATCATTAATTCTCTGAAAAAACAGACACACGTTAACACGTGGCTGTTAACAGTGGTCACATGAAGCCCAAGAGAAGTGACGAGTGATGAATGATGCGAAGCCCCCCGTCGTCAAAAAAAGACAACCATGCCCAAAGTTCCCTACGGTCCACCAACCCGGTCGCAAACGCCGCGTGATGCGAAGCCCCCCGTCGTCAAAAAAGACGACCATGCCCTCGGCAAAAGAGGACAGAGTACGTCAACCACAGTCAATATATCGTCTACTCCTTCCCTGCCATGATGTCAACTCGTCGGTACCACACCAAACCAAAACCAAACCCGGCCCTCCGACGATTCCAGGGCCAAAAAGCAACCAAACTGCCGTCAAAACGACGGTTCGAAACTTGAAAAACAGATCAACTAGAAAAACAATACTACTTCACCCATGTTCCGAAGGTAAGAGGTTCGAAACACACAACTCAAAACAAATCGAACTCGATACCCAAACGGTCTGGTCCCGGTCTTACCAGAAGGTCACCGGTTAGAAAAACAATACTACTTCACCCATGTTCCGAAGGTAAGAGGTTCGAAACACAACTCAATACAAATCGAACTTCGATACCAAACGGCCTGGTCCCGGTCTTACCGGAAGGTCATTGGTTCAAACCCTTACGAGTAGTGGTGGTATATAAGGCACCTCCCTGGTCCCAATAAACCATCGCTACTCACGCAAAGCAAAACTAATCTGTGTACTCATCAGATACTCCAAACTCTATCAAATACAACTTAGTCTAAACGCAGTAGTGCGACTGTCAGTTAGCAACATAGAGAGCAATATCCAGATCGGTTCCCTTCCCTTGCTGAAGCTTCGCGGTGCCGCTCCTAACCAATGTCTGGGGTAGTTACCTCTGCTGAGTTCAGTCCCC